ACATACACACATGCACATATCATATTACTTATACATATATATATATATACATATATATATATATACATATATATATATATACATATATATATATATATATATACAATTATGTATGAATATCTATGTATGTGTATGTGTGTATATATACATATACATATAGTGTACCCGCACGAAACCGAGCTGCGAATAAAGTCCAGCACGGCCAGATCAAAGTGTTGCTTCCTGAGCTGAAGAATCTGAAGAGTCTCCCAGAGGATATGTGAGGTGGTCAGGCGGCTGCATCGGAAGACGGGCGTCGCACCAAATCTTGAATCTTAAGAAACTCGAAAGGATTTGTGTACGTGATATCCTTCTCCTGCGCAAGTTGCAGCTGCTGAACACAGCTAAGTTTCAGGACGGTTCGCGTGTACGAAGATCTTGCAGCATGCGGCAGCTGGTCCAACAACATGGTGTGATACTCGGACAACAAGTCCTCTCAAGGCCAATACGCAGTTTAGATGCAATCAAAGAAACCTCCAATGACTCTGCAAGGGCAGAACAAACCTCGGCAGCAATGTCTTCACCGCGCTCGCGTGACTGCCTTGTTGGAGGGACCGTCCTCAACCACGTTTGTTGCTATCTGGTCCCAAAGCAAGTATGCCACATCACGCACACCATAACCTGCCATCGCAAAGGAAGTGGGCAAAGCTTTTGTGCCGTGAGCCTGTGTTCTGCAGATTCCGCATCATTACAAATCCAACTCTCGCTTTTGTTCTCTTCTTGCTGCTGCATCTCCGCGTGCATGTTCGTGCGTGGCCTTCGCCGACCCAGCCGAAGTCCAAAGCTGCGCAGCGAGGCGCCAGGCCCTCGCTGCAAAGCATGTTCTCAGGCTTCGCATCGCCATGCACCTTTCCCAGTCGTGCGAACACATTGTGACTCCCTGGATTCTTTCAAAAACAGTGGGATCTGCCGTCGGTTCGGTGATGAGGTACGGAACGACTATTGCATGTCAGCTTGAAGTGCATTTTCGCGACTCGGAGCCCCACCAGTGTGCGAAAGCGGGAGTCCGTCTTTCCAGGGTGTTCCGGATCTTTGCCGGCCTGCATCAAGCTTTGGCTGTAAGGTGGTGAAGATAAGTGCAAAATCGTACTAAGGTAGGGAAACAGGTGTGCACGTGTTGAGTGTCGATCAGCAATGCGAAGTCGGTAGGGCCCAGAAGCTGGGAGCTGCGATTCCACTCTAAGACCCATCCTACGGATGTCCGGCCAAACGTTGATCCACAGCGAGAGCTGCTCTGCGGAGCCTCTGCGTCTCCTTCTGCAGAAGGGCCGGCAGTGAACACTTGGACAGTGAACAACTTATCTCTCGAGGAACTTGTACTTGCACTTCAGGCTGCGCTGAGTGCTCCTGAGCCGTGAGGTAGCGGTTGCTGAAGTCAGCAGGCAAAGCTTCGAGTTGAAGCCTGCAAAGGGTGGAGCCATTTGCTGGACCACAGCCGGTGGGGGCGGGGCTCTGGCCAAGGAAGGCCATGGCACTGGCAGCTGCAGTCGAGGGGCTGCCCAAGCTTGTCCAGGATCCAGTAGCCTCGGATGCTCTGTGTATGTTGGATGTTTGGCAGGGCCCGAATCGTGTGACCTTCTGGTGGTTGAACTTCCCGATGCCCAGCAACTGCCTTGCTGCCAGAGCCCACGCTGCTCAGCGAAAGGCTTCCTCGGAAGAGAATGTACAGTGAAAGCTTCGTGGCATGAGCTGGCATACCTGCTTGTCACACATCCCAATCCGTGGAGGCCTAGCTTCTATCACCGTCCATGCTTGTGCATCTGAAAAGCTTCTTCGACTGCCTGCGTCTCGGCCAAGGATCTCCCAGAAAAGCGCATGGAAGCCTGCAAGCCACCTGTCGACGGAAGTTTTGGCATTAAAGCACAGGAGTCTCTTTGAGCTCTGCTCAGCTCCGTTTGACCCAAACGAAGTCCAGCCATCATCCTTTAAACTCCGAGTCATGGCCATGTCACGTTCTCAAATCAGCGCATGGCCAGGTCATTTTTGATTCATGCCACAGCACCAGTGCTGGGGCCTCAGGGCTGCCAGTGTTTCGGCGCCGCGGAAGTGGCGAACTGCTGCTCCGGCACCCCGTGGGAAGCGCAAAGAAAGATCCTGTGCTGCTGAGGCGCAGTGAGGGAGCATCTGTCGCAACCTGGAGATTGGCAAGTTGTTCTGCGTCTCTGAGCTCCTCCAGCAATATCACGAAGGGGTCGCCCAGCTCAACCTCCTCGACATGCAAAACACCTCAAGCTGACTGCCTCTGCATGCACAGCATTCTCACAACATGTGACAAATGCTGCTCCTGCAAAGGTGCGGGGAACTGCAAGGTCGACTGCAAGAAGCTCCTCGGAGAGGTTCTTGTATGCAGCGGCCTTTCGCTGGGCCGCCGAAAGGCCAAAACAGAAGAAGCATGCAGGGCCTCAATCTTGAAGCCGTGCATGAAGCGAGTGTGCTCTGTGAGCTTCAGCATGTCCCCAACCTCTGGCATTGGGCACCTCGATACCTCCTGGTCCTCTTCACTACAACCCTGGCGCCTCAAGGCCTGCTTTGGGCCGGATCTGTTTGGCGATGATGCTAGGAAGAGGTGCCTCCGCACAACTGGAGGCCGGAACGCGACTATCAAGCTATCACGTTGCAAGCGGGTGACATCATCGAGAGCCATGTGCACTCGCACCTCGCGAGTTGGTCGTGCGATGATGTGGCCAGCAGAACTTGGGTGATTGAATCGGCGGGCAAAATCATCGCCGGGGTGCAATGTCTCCATAGTTCCCTCCTTCTCCCGTTGACCTTGGCAAGGGTACGCAAGGGGCATCGCAGTTCGGCGCCTACTTTTAAACACCCGGACATTTAAACAGCTTAAACAGATCATTTGCACTAGGTCTGGCAGCAGTGGCTTGGGGCCGCCCAATTTTAAAACATCCGGAAGTTTTGCTTCGTTGCCCTCTCCACCTGCCTTCCATCCTTTGCCCCCCAGCCTTGCAGCCTTCTCCAGCCCTGCAGCCTTCAAGCTTTCCTTCTTTCTTCCAGCCTTTTAATCCTTGCAGCCTTCTCCAGCCCTCCAGCCTGCCTCCCCCTCCAGCCTTCCGCCCTCCTTCCAGCCTTCAAGCCCTTCCAGCTTTTCCCTTCCAGCCAGCCCTCCAGCCTTCCAGCCTTCCAGCCTCCAGCTGGAAGGCTGGAAGGCTGGAGGGCTGGAAGTGGAGGGCTGGAGGGCTGGAGGGCTGGAAGGCTGGAAGGCTGGAAGGCTGGAGGGCTGGAGGGCTGGAGGGCTGGAAGGCTGGAAGACTGGAAGGCTGGAAGGCTGGAGGGCTGGAAGTGGAGGGCTGGAAGGCTGGAAGGCTGGAAGGCTGGAAGGCTGGAAGGCTGGAAGGCTGGAAGGCTGGAGGGCTGGAAGGCTGGAAGGCTGGAAGGCTGGAGGGCTGGAGGGCTGGAGGGCT